AGCTCTTTTCTCTACACGTCTATTAAAAACAAGACAACAGGCTCTAAACGGAGTCACTTATGCCAAGCCCCATGTCACCAAATCCAGATTTTAATAATTTAATGACAGTTTTGGCCTCTCCCAGGAAAGGAATCTTAAACCAGTCAATCTGGATTACCTGGTCAGCACCAGTGAGATCATCTGCCTGAGAGACACTTGCTGTCCTCTAAAGGAAGGTGACCTGACACAACCACTCCAGTTTTTACCAGTAAAACTTCCTCTCTCTGCCTATAAAAGTCTCCCATTGTGTCCAGCTCCTTGGAGCTCCTTTCTGTCTGCTAGATGGGATGCTGCCCAATTCACAAATCACTGAATAAAGTCAGTAAGATCTTTAAATTTTACTAAGTTGAATTTTGTTTTTCCACACATTATAAGGTCATTCTTTGCATAAAATTGGAGCCAAAGGGGTTACCCTAAAGGTGACCTAGTTCAAACCATCCATTTTTTTAAATAAAGAAATGAGTGTCAAGGCAGGAGTCATTAGCTGGTTAGAGGCAAAGGCCGAGTGTGAACTAGAGTCTAGCTCCTGACAACCCCAATACATACTGTCTCTCAAAACCATAACATANTAGAGCAGGTAAGGGCCGAGTGTGAACTAGAGTCTAGCTCCTGACAACCCCAATACATACTGTCTCTCAAAACCATAACATAAGTTCTCCACTCCCATAAAGTATTGCCAAATCTACTCCTGAAACAGAGTATTCTGACTCAACCCAAAAGTATATTTTAAAGAATGACCCACCTGCTAATTGGTGTGAATTATACAGAGGGACTTCATAGAAAACAACCCCTTTCTTTTAAAAAGTAAAAAAACCTTTACTGGACCAGTTCTATATCTTTTGTAAATTAAAAAAAATACCCTATGTTTAAAAAATAGTAATCACCTTCTAGCGTGATTTTCCAAATACCTCAGAAAAAAGTCTAGATTCACACTGGTGTCCCATCTGAATGCAAATACCATGTTAAGATAAAAATATAAGAAATAAGCAGCATTCTCCTGACTGGCCAGCAGAGGGAGACGGAGGGAAGGACGGGCCTGGGGAGCCTGAAGCCAGGCGCCGAAGGCAGGTGCCGTCCCTTAGAGAGCTTGCCTGATGGCCCAGTGGGCAGGGGCGGCTCACAGAGAAGAGATTTATAAACAAATCAGTGATGGACCCAGGTGCCAGGGCATATGGAGGGACAGTCCCAGCAACTCCAAGCCTGACGCAGGAAACTCCCTGACCCCAGAAATTAGCAAACGATATTCCCACCTCTGCTTGGTTTCCATGTTGGGAGGGGAAGAGAGATGAAAAATACTAAAAACCAAAAGGTACCCGATCTTGAAAAGAACCAAAAGCAAAAATGGGTCTGTGAGATTGAAAGTGAAAACAATACACATTTAGCCAGTTATGCCCCAAAGTAGAAAAAGATAGCTTTTCAATGCACTGAAAGGCTCATCCTCAAGTCTGAATTCCGGAGAATCATAAGCAGTGTGGATTCATGAGATTATCAATCTGCTTACTTGGAGTTAAGACAGAAATGAGACTCATTAGAAAGAATCTCACCTGATATCTAGACATCTTCTCAACTGGCTGCCTTCAGAACTCAGAAACTGAAATTATAGGCTGCTTCAATCATCAAACATTGTTTTTTCTTTGGTTTTTATAGAGATGCCTCTTGTTAAATACCTGATTTCTTGGACCATAGGCCTAACTTTGGGAGCCACCTGCATCATGGATTTCTGAGATGAGACAAATGTTTAATTGAACTGCCCTATTCTCAAAACAGACTGGTTTCCAAAACTGACATATAATAGTAATGTTTCAATTGACACAAATATTGAGCAGACTATGAATTCACACACAGCAAACGTTACTAATCCATATACCTCCTCCAAGGGGACAAGAGGAACCCGATGAAGGCAATGCCACCTTGGCATCAAATGATTTAAAAATGTTTCATTTGATCTATAATGTTTTCAGAGAGAAAAATCCTGATCCAGAGGGGGCAAATGAGAACCAAAGTGAAGAAATAAAAATTAGTACTATAGTCAAACTGCTAAATCGCGGAAGTCCAGTAGGATGAAGCATCAGGCAACAATTCTATTCTTGTTCTCACTAGCCTGGGAACGTAAACATTTCCAACCTTTCCAGACCTGCATCAATGCCTATATGTATATGCAGATAGATATATATATACACACACACACACACACACACACACACACACATATATATATATATATATATCCAGATAACCGTCTGATTTACCCCCTGAAGCACTAAGGACAGGATGCTCATGCATTCAGACCACTGGTCACCTAGAGGATGACCATTTTGCACCAGTCCAGTGGCTACTATTGAAGGGCTGATTCTTCTAAAAAATTTACTTTTTATTATAAGAACCCTCAGCTTTCACTTCTTCTTTGGAAAATTATGGCTCTTGCTTAGCTGTGTTTCCAGTTTGCAAACCCTAGGACCTTTGAATAATTCTTTATCATTTATTTATTGAAAGAATCAGTGACGTGGCCATTTACGTTCTCATTTCACTAAGCTTCTGTGTTTGTTGCCTCATCAAACCTACTCAGTCACACTCCACCATACAGGACAGATGACTAAAATGTCATTCAAATGACTGATGTGTGGCAGAAACAGATACACTTGTATGCTTTCTAGAAAGATTAATGGTAGCTGCCGCTAGCCTGTGTACAAACTTCCTGCCCCATATGTAAATAAACACAAGGCATTTGGTGTATTTTAAAGAGGTGCTGATATTACAGTGATCTTAAATTAGGTCCCGGAATAACCTATGTAGATGTTGACTAATGTGGCAATATATTCTGGACCTTTCCATATTAATTTCATGTGATCAAATGTAATGGCATTAACAAAAAAAAGGTCTCAGAAATTAAGAACAGAGAATGCAAACATNTGGACCTTTCCATGTTAATTTCATGTGATCAAATGTAATGGCATTAACAAAAAAAAGGTCTCAGAAATTAAGAACAGAGAATGCAAACATATTTGAAAACAAGAGGTATATTTCAATAACCAATTGTTTGCTAGTCTGGGCACATTCACATGATTCCAGTAAACACTGTCAGTTGGTAGACTGTAATGAAGCTTTATTTTTTGGTTCTCTTAAAAGTGAATCTAATAGCAGGAAAACTAAACTGACAAAAGTAACGAAGGAGCAAATGAATTAGGTAGGAGAGCGGAGTGGCCTGTGACTGTCGAATGAGCAGCGGCTGAATCAGAGCCCCTGACGAACTAAAATGTTTCAAGTCGCCGACAACAGAAATCAGCAGCCATGCCCAGCGCCCTTCAGACTGAAGTAAGGCAGAGCCCCGGGCCGCACACCGGGGCGAACTTCTCAGCCACATGGCGGCTGGCACCTGCCTACTCGGGGGTGTGGTGAACGGGGGACGAGAGGGTGTGCCAGCATGGGTGCTCTGTGCCAGCTGCCAGCTGGTGTCTAAGTGTCAGGTATCGTCATCATCACCCTTACACTCAAGTCACTTCCCGCTACATCCTAGCCACTGTTTAAAAAACAGTCATCCATCCAGTCAAGTGATCTACATACAAGAGACTCAAAGTTGTATCAGTGGAAATAACTTTTTAAAGAATAAAACCTGCACAATGCCTTTGTAACTGTTCGAGAAAGACTGAGCATTTCGATTCACACAGACAGCTGCTCTGAATTCTGGGTCTCCTTCCAACACCACCAATCGTTCTGATCACAGAAGGCACAGCGTCACGAGGGCATGAGAGCAGGGTGCTGCGACATGAACGAGTGCCACCATTGCAACGGAACCAAGAGAAATAAGTTCGGTTCCACACCTCTTCTCAGGGAGTCAAAATATGCCGTGCATGGATCGAGGACACAACCAGTCTCAGACACATTGTGTGATGCGATCAATCACGACTAGTCACAAATATACTTTCAGAAACAAGGCATTTCAACATCATGGGAAATATTTCTCAGTGTGAGGTCCTGGGAGTTCTGGTGGGGGAAGGGGGGGCATGAAGGCAGGGGAAAGAAGGAAATCTATTGCCTCCCGCTTCTCTGGAATCCTTAATCACCTCATTAAATTGCGGGTATGCTGAGGTGTGTTTTTAATACAACTGGTGGAGCTTTTGTTCCTGACAAGTATAAACAATCACATATTCATTCATTCATTCATTCACTCATTCATTACCTATTTATTCATGAGCACCTAGCAGGAGTCAGGTATTGTGTTCAATGCTGGGGATAAAGCTGTCAACATGCAGACATGGGCCCTGGCTTTATGGATCTTACATTATAGTAAAAAAGAGCAGCAAAAAAATAAATATACAAATGAAGGACTGGTGATAATCATGATAAAGCCTATGAAGAAATGGGGTACTGCAGTAGAGATTACACGGAGGTGCTGGGGGGCTACTTTAGATAAGTGACCAGTGAAGCTCTCTCAGGGGGAAACTTGAATGCGACTGAGCCAGCCAAGGGAAGAGCTGGGAATAAAGCATTCCAAGCAGAGTGACCAGAAGTGCAAAGGCCCTGAGACAGAAATGGCTTGGACCTCTAAAGGCACTTCAGAGAAGAAGCCAGGTGGCTAAAGAATAGAGAGTAAGGGAGAGGAGTACCGGGTGAGGTCAGAAGGAGCCACATTTTGAATGCACGTTGTGCAGGGCAGGTTCAGGAGAATGAAAGGATAAAGATTTTAAAACCTTAATGGTCATTAAAAGGCACAATCTGATTTACACTTAAGGGTATCACTCTAGCTGCATATGTGTAACATGATGTATAAACACAACTTTTATTTTAAAGGTGCTGGCATTTGAAGAAATCAGAAAGCATTCTGAATGCAATTCCAAGTATTTAAATAAAAATAATCTTAAAAAACAGACATTTAAAAAGCCCCAAACAGCCACCTTAAGACCAGTAAGTTAAACAATGGATTACGAGTTTAAAAAAATAAAAACCCAAATAAACCGACGTACCTCCCCGCTGCACCAGCAACGTGACCTCACTCCCCTTCGGACACTCGATCAGCATGTCCACGACTTGGTTGTGCGTCAGGGCCTGCACACTCCTCTTGTTTACTTCCACGATCAGGTCCCCCTCTTTCAGGCCTCGGCACCTGGGGCTGTCCACAATCTGTTTCACTCTCTGGCCGCCCCCTCCAGGACTGTCTGCGATAGTGAAACCGAAGCCCACTGGTCCTTTGACTATATGAACAGTTATGAGTTCGGGCTGAGTGGCTATGGAAGAAGCCAGAGAGACAGTGTCATTGGGGTAACCATGGGAACCGTTTGAAGCCACGTCGGCTGGGCTGCTTGGCCTGGCATCCTTCATGCCATTGACTTTGCCTGTTTTACTGCTGTGACTAGCTGGCGAATCATAGGTCTCTTGCCCATTCACAATAATTGGTTCTTTATCCAAAATGGCCACCGAGGTCACTAAACTCGTATTGGGGTCATCTGGGTCGAAAGGCAATGGATAACCTCGGCAGAGTTCAAGGTCCACGCTGGCACCAATGGGGATGGACTGGAAGATCTTCACAACTTGTGCATGTGTGTGTCCCAAAACACAGGTGTCGTTCACACTGACAATTACATCTCCTGCAAAGGTAAGGGTTTGGGGTTAAAAAAAACACACAGAAAATGTACCTCGATATTATAATATAAACGCCTACCAATAGGAAGCTGAACTGAAACTGGATTCAGGGGTGGCACCATAGGACACAAAGAGACTACTTCTACTATTTATTTTAATGGCTAGTAAGGCAATTCTTTTAGCATCTGGTGTCTTCCCTGCTAGTGAGAATACATGATCATTGAAAGAACACTGAAACTTTTTCTAAAATAAATTCTCACTGCAGAAATCCAAGTTCAGAATTCATTTATTCAAACAAATCTGCAATTATAGTAAATTACTGCTGTACTCGGCTCAGTAGCACCCCAAGAGCTCCCCAAAGTTAAAATGGCCTCAAAGGTTTTCATCTCTACCAGGGAATGCATTTATGCAGTGGGAGAACCTTGCTCACTGGTGAAGTTTTAAAAGGAGATTTATAAGCTCATGAAATCATGCTGCTGTTTGGTCTCACTTGGGGGCTGGGTAGACTGGCCGTGGTCTCTACCTGTTTCCATCTTGCCGTCCAATGCAGCGGGACCATCTAGGACCAAGCTCTTGATCTGCAGAAACTCGTCAGGTTCATCGCCTCCAACGACCGTGAAGCCAAAGCCGCGACTGCTCTTCCGCAGCTTTGTGTGAATGAACTTGCCTTTCAGTTCAGAAGGGTTTCGTGTGAAAAAGGGTTTGCCTAGATTAAAACAAGAAGGTATAAGGAATGTCACGATGAGCGAAAAGGTGAATAAAATAAGAAATGGTACAACGTATAGATAATTCTCCAAGCTCCTGTGCTAGGGCATTTGGGGACACAGGGGTCTTAAGAAAGTCCTCTCTTGCTTTCAGTAGTCAGGGTGAGCCTAGGCCCCCCTGTTAAAGAAGTGGGGACATGGTACATGCAGCAGGTCAGCATGAAGATCCAAAAGGAAACCCAAGGGAAGGATNGAGGGGGGACATGGTACATGCAGCAAGTCAGCATGAAGATCCAAAAGGAAACCCAAGGGAAGGATGAAAGAGGTGTCTGTCATCTGACACACACCCGGGGTTTAGGTCCCTGAGCTTGGACAGTGATTGAGCTGCCACAAGGTCCCTCAGAGGAGGTGGGGTGGGACTTAGCTTTCTGTCTACTGTTTTGTTATAGTTTATATTTTGCATTACAGCTTCCAATGTGCTGCCTCGGGCTTTGCTGCCACTTGTAAAACCAATTCATCAAAATCTTCAGGTATTAATCAAACAAATCTCATTCCGAAAATACAGAGATAATACTAAAAAACACACTATGGTCGCAAAGAATAATTTGATAAATATGTACCATCACCGCTATTAAAATGAAGAGAGTTATAATTTTACTTTGATTTGAATTCTAAATTCAACTGATTCTTCCTGTTAATTTGCATTTTTAACAATTTGTTAAATAGTCTGGACATGTCCACTGCTAAAATTTACTGTTTAAAAAAGTTTAGGGGTGGGAGATATAACTCAGTGGTAAAGCGCATGGTTTGCATGTATGAGGCCCCAGGTTCGATCGCCAGCATAAAAAAAATAAAAAAATTTAGAAGTAGCTTGGAATATTAAAAAAAACCCAAAATTCAAAAACCTACACTAAGTGAAACAGTTACTAAAAAGAGTCATATAGCTCCAAATTCAGTTGCCTTATTTAAAATAAATTAGTAGACAGATATATAGCTAAATAACTTCCAAACACGCTACCTAAGGTTTTACTGAATTTTCTTGATAACATTCATAGATAACATCTTGTACAGAATCCCAAAGTTTTGTGTTTTGTTAGTTGGGCATTTCACTGTAATTTAGAAACTTACTGAAATTTCTCTGGTCATCCCAAATAGTGGAAATAATTCAATGCTCAGACTTTTTCAACTCTCCTAATTACACTTCCTGTCTCTGGTCCTTGCTATATCTTCCCCATGTGCCCTATTTCTTTTCTATCAAAAATGTTATTTGAGCCCTCACCAGTTTGGCTCAGTGGTTAAAGTGACAGCCTGTGGACTGAAGTGTCGCAGATTTGATTCCAGCCAAGGGCACAGACCTCGGTGGCAGGCTTAATCCCTGGCCCCGGTGGGGGCGCGTGTGGGAGGCAACCAATCCACGTGTCTCTCTCACATCGATGTTTCTCTCTCTCTGTCTCCAACCCCCTTCAATCTCGTGAAAAAGAAAAAAAAAGAAAAAATCAATGGGAAAAAATATCCTCAGGTGAAGATTAACAAAACAAAATAATAAAAACAACAGAAGAAATGTCTCTGTAACCCCTGCACTAGAGGAGAGCCTGGCACCCAGGAAGGAAGGTTATTTTTGGTTCGCTGTATCTAAAAGGCCTTTTTGAAAAGGTCTCTGGACACACATGCACTTTCTAACTGCATATTCAAAAGTTCCTGACTCTTAAAAAGGCTCTTTTAAATTGCCCCGATCACAGGTGTGCTCACCAACCTCCTCCTCTCTAGAGCAGTCCCCCGGTTGGTTGGAAGCTTGACAGGTGCCAGCCCTGTCACCATGGCTAAAGGAAGGGAAGGCACAGCGGGACTCCCAGTGCAAGGCCGTCTGCCAAAGCACCAGGTGGTGGAAGAGAATGACCTGGGTAGCTTCTGGAATGGACTCATTTTTAGGGCCTGCCCTAGACCCACTGCACCAGGACCTTCTGGGTTTGGCTCCAAATGTGCTTCTGAACACCCTTAGGTGCCTGCTGCCCTGTCAGGCTGGTCCCGCTCTCGCGCTGCCGTGTAAGGGCCCCCGCCCACTGCTGCCCGATTCGCCTGTGACGGGCCAGCAGAGGGCGGTGAGAGTCAGGAGCGGTCCCCAGGGAGAGTGCAGTGCGCGCTCCCAAATCCCCAAGCAATGCGGGACCCAAGAGTCGCGGGAGAACAGGGAATGGAAAGAGGCCCAGAAGGGAGGAGGAGGGGCCTAAGATGAGGCCCCTGGCACGGGTCAATGCCCTGGGCCCTCCGCAGCCGGGCACGAAGTGCTTGGCCCTCAGCGCCTGAACCTTTAGAGCTTTAATTTACTTAATTTCAGGAAGCCAGATGCTTGTTGTGCATGGATGTGTGCATGCGTGCACGCATGTTTACATATGTATATTCTTTCACTCACAGTGAATTTCAGCAGACACCAGATATCAGAGGAGGGCTGCCTGTGTGGAGGACCCTACAGCGAGTAGTCCAAAGAGGAAACAATTGTTAAATAGCTGAACAAAAACACTAATTATAAAGTGTTAAATTCTGCAGGTGAGAAGAGTAAGATGGAAAGAGTGGGTGTAATAGGGGAATTTAGCAATAACCTGAGATGAGTAGACGCTGACAAAGCAAACACTGGCAGGAAAAGACAGCTGCAGAGGGAACAGCATATGCAAAGGCTCTCACATGGTCCAAATTTCGCTGGTTTAAGGAACTGAAAAGAGGTTCAGGGAATGTAAAAGTCAGTGTAGCTGACTTACCAGGAGAGGGGGAAACACCACAACACGAGGCTGCTGAAGGAATCTTATATTTAAAAATATGAAGGAGCCCGGCTGGGGTGGCTCAGCGGTTGAGCGTCGACCTATGATCCAGGAGGCAACTGTTCGATTCCTGGTCAGGGCACATGCCCGGGGTGCGGGCTCGATCCCCAGTGGGGGGCAAGCAGGAGGCAGCCGATCAGTGACTCTCTCATCATTGACGTTTCTCTCTCTCCCTCTCCCTTCCTCTCTCAGAAATCAATAAAGATATATTTAAAAATAATATTAAATAAATAATAAATACTATGAAGGAGGCACAACAGTGCTGATATCAATTAACGTTATTACCTACTTGCTATCTTTATTAAAGTCATTATCATTCTAAAACGTACATCTGGGGCAGTAGAAATTATTTTACATAAATTGATATTAGTACTAATCTCATGACAATATCAGCGAGCAGGGAAACAATTTCTTTGTTATGAAAGTTATAATGGAGGAATCAAAATTATAGAAAATAATTATCCTACTTACCTGTTTATATCTTTTAAAAATGTTCTTTACCACAAACATCCTCCAACTCTATCAAATATGATGCCTGTTCTATTTTTCTTATTTAAAAGAAAAAAACTAAACAAACAAACCCGAAAACCTTTTCTGTCATTTAAGAGTAATGAGGCCTGAAAATAGCAAGATTCTGGAGCTTTCAATTTTCAAAAATGAACCTCTCTAGGAGGCTCAAACTTTCTGTGAATGCAAATAAGTGAGACCAAATGAAACGTTGTAAAACGTGCATAAATACCAAAATCGCAGCAAGAATCAGAGATGAGAATTTAAAACAATGATGTCAAACCATTTTACAGTTACAGAAAAATTTTAGTTGAAACCAAGTATGTTGACTAGAATCTTGAAATACTGGATGCTTAGTTTTCAAGTTACCTAATATGATTGTTAAATATTTGTGGTCTCTAAATCAGTGGTTCACAGCCCTGTGATGGTTTTCCCCCACAAAAGGGGTGGAGGAGTGGGGAGGTGGGGGTAGGGTGCCACTGGCATCTAGTGGGTGAGGCCAGGAAAGCTGCTAACATCCTACAATGCACAGGACACTCCCCACAGCCCAGAATTATCTTGCCCCAAATGTCAACTGTGCTGAGGTTGAGGAATCCTGGTTTAATTGATCCTCAGTAACAAGTAGTCATTACTTTTAGTGCATTACAAGTAGCCGAAGGAATTTATACAGAAAAGTTTCTAATCTTTTTTGAAAATTCTGATTATTGACACATTTAGAATTTCAATCATTATGGTTTTTACTATCAAAAGAATGAGTAGGGAGTTACAATATTCCACTTCTTTTTTTAAAAATATATCTTCATTGATTTCAGAGAGAGGAAGAGAGAGAGAGACAGAAACATCAAAGACGAAAGTGTCATTGATCGGCTGCCTCCTGCATGCCCCCCACTGGGGATGGAGCCCGCAACCCGGGCCTGGGCCCTGACCGGGAATCCAACCTCGATCTCCTGGCTCCTAGGTCAACGCTCAACCGCTGAACCACGCCTGGCCAGGCACAAGATTCCACTTCTTAAAGTACCTTTAAAAAACCAGGTTTTTGAGCGAAAACAACGATGTAATTATAAAAACCCTTTACCCTGAAGGGGAGCGTCTCTGGGCGGCTCCGGATTGCTTGGGGGGTGGCTGGGAACAACAGGAGGCACGAGCGAGGGCCGGTCTTCTGTCCATTCTGCAAGAAAGGGAATAAAGAGCTCGCTTAGGATTCACCACCTTCTTAAATACAAAACTGCCCCAATAAAATCAGGGGCCGAAACTTAAAAAAAAAAAGGTATTTGATCTCACTGTCTGTTAATAGTATCAAGATACCTCCCTCTGTCTCCCTCTTTCCCAAGACCTTTGCTGATAGAAATACTGTGATGTAACCAATAAATCTCCAGTTCTCTTTGGCTGGAGAGTCCAAAGTGAGACCAAGTAAAAAACATCAGGAAGATGCAGAGTCAACTAAAGCCAGCCCAGTGGGGAGACACATTTCCAATGCCACGGAGCCAGGCGGGGCTGCTAAGCCCGCTGTCCCAGGCAGTGAAGGGCAACTTCAGCAGCTGGCGAGGGGGCTGTCTCCTATCATCTCTGAGCTGCAAACGGGCCCCGTTACCGCTACTCCTGAGTCCTAACTGGAGTCCTTTTCCCAGTGGAGGCCCAGAAATAGCTCAGTGAGTGACCCTTGACATTCACCCTAGTTCCTTCCCAGCTCAGCTCACACAGTCCAGTGCACACTCCACCCCCAAAGTCCACTAGCACTGCCAAGTTTTACCAGCTCAGGGAAAAAGTTAAAATACATTGTTTTTAAAGAGAAAAGAAATTCAGGCAGAAAGGAGAACTTTTCAGTAGGGGAACTCCCTCTCCCTCTCTAAAATACAGTCTATGGCAGTGGTTGGCAAATTGGGGCCAAAAGGCCAAATTGGGCCCAATGCCTGTTTTTATACAACTTGTGAGCCAAAAATGGCTTTTACACTTTTAAATGGTTGAAAACAAATAGAAAGAGTATTTCATGACATATGAAAATCCTGTGAAGCTTAGATTTCAGTCCCTATATAACGCTGTACTGGATGGAACACGGGCACGCCCACTTGCCGCACACCGTCTACAGCGGCCTTCACACAGCTCTAGCCGGTGAGTGCAGTTGTGGTAGAGACTGTTATGAACACAGAGCCCACGGAATTTCCGATACGCCTATTTTCAGGACAAGTTTGCCAGCTTCCACTCTATGGTCTACGTTTACTATATACAGTGTTATAACAAGAGAAGTGTTCTATTTGACATTTACATATTTGATATTCACATGTTATGTTGAGGGTGTATTAAGCATATTATTTCAAGAGTGCAATGAAAACTGGGAAAAGCCTAAGCATCTATGAATAAGCAGACGGCTAAATGAAGTGGAGACATTCATAAAATAGAATATAATGCAGCCTTTAATAATTACAAGATAAATTGGTATTAACCAGCTTTGAAATATGTGCAAGAAATATACTTAAGTGAGAAAAACAGATCACAAAACTTAAATTTATACATGTATGTGTTATAATCTTACTTCTGTTAAAATATGCATATTTGTACAGCCCTAGAAAATTCTGTGCAGTGTTTATTGCTGAGAATGGGCTGGGAGCGAGCAGGGGAGAATTTAATATCCTACATTCCTGCCTTGTTCATATTTTTCCAACAAGCATGAATTAACTTGTAATTTTAAAAAAGCTCTAAAATCGCCAGCTCCAGTCTAAAGGCAGCTCCTTCCTAAGTTGAAGCAGAGATTTGGTGCCTTTGAATGGGCCTCCTCCTGGAGCTGCCTGGGTTCCAGGGCCTACAGGGAACTCCAGCAGCTCTGCACTGCTCCCAGGACATCAAGCCCTCAGGACGGCAGGACGTGATCACCAGACCAGTTCTGGCCACACGGGGGTGTCAGCACCCAGCTTCGCCTGCGCTCCCGGCCCACAGATCAAGAGACCAACCTTCTGACGGCTGCTGGGACTGCGGCTGTGGCTGCTGCTCAATCTGCTTCTTCCGTTTCGCTTCTAGAACTGGGTTCTCGTATTGTGTCTTCCTGTTGATGTGGCTGGAGCGGGAGGCAGATAGTGACCAGTTAGGGAATATTTCATACCACAAGCAAAATGCCAAGAGGGCCAAGTCCTGCGATTAGAACTGAGCAAAGCAGTTGGCCATCTTGTGTCAAATGTGCAGTTAGGAAGAGGAAAGAAAATGTTTCCAACACTGAATGCTTACATGTACCACGCAAGCATTGTGCTGCGAGGCTTACATGCATTTTATTTTAAAATCTTCAATAAATGCCAGGAGTTAGGTCTTATTTTCATTTATAGTTTATGGATTAAACTATAATAACTCGCCTAACATAACATAGCTAGCACGCACACACGTACGTACACATACATACATACATATGAATACATAGATTTTTTTTGCCATGGCCTTATTTAGTACCTGCATATGTACACATAAACGTTATATAAATATACAGAAGTATAAATATATTTATATTTTTTCTTTCTTCATCAAAATCACACTTCACTAGAAGTTTGGGAACATATCGATGAATCAAAATTCTTTTTAAAGCCAGGATTTGTTTTTCAAAGGCAGGCTTGTCAAATAGGGTGGATAGACTAATCACCCTTAGTTTCTATGGTAGGACTGATTATTTATTTCCTAATTCTTGTACGAAATTTCATGCTAAGACAGAGTCTAACATTAACAGGCATTGGATTTGAAAAGACACAGGGAGAGAAAGTGTATAGTAAGAGAACTCGCTGCTCAAACAAAGTCTCTTGATCGAAGCTGTGGTTACTGTTCCTTTTCTCTTAATACACAAGCCTGTTGAGGGAGAAATCAAAATGAGCTCCAAATAGGCAAGAGCTCCACTGTACATGTGCGAGAAAGATGATCTGCTGGGCACACGAAGGAATTTTGTTTAATGAAGGTCAGAGAAATGACTGAGCCTACCCTTCTGATGCCCCAAATCACCCATCCTTGTTAGGAAAGAGGTGGCAATGTGAGCGATGCCCAAGGACACCTGCTATATTAAACTCGTAATCTTTCACAATAAGATGCTGAGCATTTTATGACCTGGCATTTTTGCATCATATATTCTTATTACCAGGGTTTGATATAAATGACTTCCTTGTCGGCAGCAGGAGGGACAGAGAGCTTCCCAGGTATCTTCATCCTGGCAGGTAGGATTATGATGACAGAACATTCACATGGCATTTGTTTCTTTCAAAGGGTCTTTTACTAGTTATTTCTCAGAGAAATGATATAAAGCATATTTATTCAATGTTTAATCTGTTGGCTTTCTTTTACTTCCTTTGGTGTCATCCTACTAATCGATGGGCTTGATGGGAAGATGAAGTGTAGGTCCACTGCTAGAATACGGTGGACAGTAAAGAAGCCATGAGAGCCCAGCCGTGTGGCGCAGTGGTTGAGCATTGGCCCCTGAACCAAGAGGTCACCGGTTCGATTCCCCGGCAGGGCACATGCCTGGGTTGCGGGCTCCATCCCCAGTAGGGGGCGTGCAGGAGGCAGCGACTGATGTTTCTCTCTCATGGATGTTTCTATCTCTCTGTCTCTCTCCCTTCCTCTCTAAAAAAAATCGATAAATATATTTTACAAAAAAAGGTCATGATGAGGGCTCAAGATTCTTAAAAATGAAAAACAGGAGCCACGTGTATGGTCCTCAGGCAGGAGAGAGGCAAAGAGGCACACAGGATCTTGCAGGTTAGGCTACTTCTCAATTTCCTTCTTTTTATTTTATTTATTTTATTTTTTAAATGTATCTTTATTGATTTCAGAGAGAGGAAGGTAGAGGGAGAGAGAGATAGAAACATCACTGATGAGAGACAGTCATTCATTGGCTGCCTCCTGCACACCCCCCACTGGGGATCGAGCCCGCAACCTGGGTGGGCATGTGCCCTGCCCGGGAGTCGAACCTCCATCTTCTGGATCCTAGGTAGATGCTCAACTGATGAGTCACGCCCGGCCGGGCTCAATTTCCTTCTTAATCTTGCCAACATTTCACATATTATTAAGACTTATCTGACCCTTTTAGAAAGTCTGAATAAATAATTACTGAGAAGTTCAGACTTGGGCAGGGCAAAACATAGGCAAACAGGTCCTCCTCCTGAAGACAGCCCTTACTCCCTTGGTCTAGTGAATTTTTGCTTTTCTGAGATTCATTTATTCACTCAAATAAGTTACTAAGTACCTGTGCTACACCAGGACTATAGGCCTTGGGAGAGTAGTGGTACACAAAAGACACAGCTTTGGCCCTCATGAATTTAATAATATAATTTGCTGTCTTCAGATTTGCTGAATATTTCCTCATTCATTAAAATAGACATATATTTTCTTTATAAAATTATGTCATAATCATTACTTTATACCGCATAGTGATGGCACACACTGTTCAGGATAAATATACATGATGGCAGGGGGAACAAGCTAAAGTGGGGATGAGCGGACACTTACTCTACATAGTAGATACCATAGACGGGGTCTTCAATCTTCTCCCAACCGGCAGGCAGTTCTGAAAAACAAAAGAATATTTAGAGCAAGAAGAGCATATTCTTGAACAGCCTCTGGATTTTCAACAAGTTAGGCAAAAAGAGAAACTCATAGAAGTGCCTTAAATCCAATTAAAAGCGTGTATCCTAAAAGAAAATCAAGAATTACTTTTATTTTATGTGTATTTTTCTACTTAAAGAGCAATGAATTACTGATATTTTGCGAAGCATGTGAAATTTAGTAAGACGCAGTACCAGGTGCCTTCATTCTAATCAACTATTACATTAGGCTTTAATAAAAATATAGTTAAAACTTGCCTTGAATGCCTAGTTCCTATCTTAAATATTTATCGCTTTCTCATTTTATTTCTAGACTACCTTAATACGAAAGCGAAATTGGACAAAAATCTGTTTCCTTTCATGTCCAATCAACAGTGCTGCTTTCCTCTTCCTGGAATAAAATACAACCTGCATCTTATTTTCTTCTTGTTCCTATTAAAAGCCACTGGCAAATGCCCCCCGAGCTGGGTATCTGCACTGCGCGCACTGTGCCCCGCAGCCCTCCCGCACGGGCCCGCCTTCCCCAGGGCCTGGCTACGCGCAGAACACAGGCCCGGCTCCGAGCTCACTCCACTCCGCTTCCTTTAAATGCGGTGGTAAATGCATTGGGGGGTCAACGGGGGTGGGCAAAGTCGGTTTACAAGTTGTTCACATGGAAAAAGACATGCAGGTTACGATTGCAATAGCTTTATTAAGCCAAAAGAGTGTCACGAGCAACTGTAAAGTGACTTTGCCCCTCCCTGACTGCCTTTCTGAACATCCAACTGTGCTCCACTGGGCTGGACCGTGTAAGGTTCCCCGTGGAAGGCCGGACTTAGGTGACTATGAGTTCTGTCACAAGAATCCACTGTGAAAAAGCCACTGCACCAGGTAAGCCAACTTTGCAAAAGAGGGGGCTAGGCTGTGTTTTGTGTCATTAAACAATTCTTCCAGGCAGAGAACAACTGCTCAACTTAATTTGAAAGGCCCCCGCCCCCCGACACATACATAGATGCACAGTTAAGGCAAGCTCGTGAGATACAGGCCTCCAAAAGGAGTCATTATTCCAAAGTAGCCATTAAGACCAACTTAAATGAAATATTACAAACACTTGAAATATCACTTATTTTGAAATACTAATTTTTTTTTTAATTCAAGGAATAATATGATCACCATTTTCAAATACAGAGTGTTTCATCAGGGCTTACATCTGCCCCCAGGGGCTCCACACTGAAGTGGGGTCCTGCCTGTGCACCACACACACAGGCCAACTGCTTCAAGTTTACATCTTCCTCGGGTCTGGCTGCACATCAAGACACATTCATTTCATGGCTTTTGCTCCATGTTATATGTTTGCAAACAAACAGACAAGGTTTCTCCCTTTTCTTCAAATTTTTTTTTTTTTTTTTTCTAAGCACTTAGATTTTAAAGAAGTCTTTGCATTTCAGGAGATGTAAGCTACTAAAATGTAAGACAGGTCCAATTTGCAGATGTTGATAAAACTTGGCATTTTTATACTCAGAGTCTTGTGGACTAATGCAAATCACATGCTGGGGAAATGGTTTCCCTTACAAAGCTGGAAATTAGCATTTAAATGAAAATGAACCAGGAAAATATTTCCAAAGAGGTGGGAAATCAAAGATTAAAAAAATGCAAATTGGGGCACAGTCACATATTTGTTCTGGTATGGGGCAAGATGGGCCAGTGGGAGAGGACCACAACATATTTAACGAGCCAAATCTCTTTTCAAAATCTGCAACCTTAAATATTTGGCCCTATTGTCTTTAGATAAAATATGGAAGACATTAAGAATTTAACTCATTCCATCATTATTTTCTCAAACATTTATTGAGTGCCTACTGTCTGCCTGAGAGTGTGCTTGGCACCAGGACACAAAGATCGTTACAAGTGCACCATCTGAGCGGACAATTCAAACACCGCGTGGTAAGTGTGCTGGTGGAGGGCCGAGAGGGTACAAGGAATGAGGGCCACTTCTGACTTTGTCCCGTCACCCAGTCAACTAAGAGACTGACGTTGGTCAACGAGGACTTCTGGACATTTGCAAATTTAAACACATCTTCTAGGACAGATTAGCAAACTAAAAATTTTCTAGTTTTTCAAGTAAAACTCATTTAAAATAGTAAAGATAGGTTTTGATTTCTCACTTCCAAAGTGGTGATTAATTTAATAATAGGAATCAGTCCCCTACTACTTAAAATAGACATGGGTCATCGATGTTTGTCCTCAAATTTGCCAATTTGGTTCTAAAAAACTGAAACTAGCATAAAATATTGAAGCTCAGAAAAAAGTGGCATTACGTTAATTTTACTAAACGCTCTGAAAAGGCCTGAAGAGCCACATTGCCCCCTTGCTTAACGATTGTCGGGCATAAGACCTGACTGCACGGCCTGTCACCGAGAGTCCAGGAGCCAGGACCCACTCGGGCTGCCCAGACCTGGGGTGAACCTGAGCTCCACCGCATCTTAAAGCTGGAGTTGGGCTAGTGACTTCACATCTTGCAAGCAGGTCCTTCTCCTGGATGTACCTCAAAGGCCAACTGCAGATTAAATGACGACGGGAAAACATTTCGCACAGCACCCCGCTGGCACAGGAGGAACAGGACAGATCCGTACGGCCTGCTTGCCGCCTACTCCCGCCTCTGAAAATCTCACATACTAACCGTGACCACGGAGGCAAGTACAGAGCAGTCAGATGCTCTAAGTTCTTTTCAAAGGGATTTGTCAGCACACAGCTTTTAAGTCAGATTCATAATCAGAGATAAATTTCAAAACTGTGGCTTAGTTTTGGTTGGGAGGAGGCCTCATCTCCTCCTCTCTACCTCTCCCAGTTGGTTTCAGTGCATGGATACGCCTATGATTCCAAAAGGTTTGCAAATGCTTTTCAATTCTGGGGAGATGTTATCACAGAGGATGTGATAAATTCTGCAAACCAAAAGTGCATAATGGAGCTACTGACCCGGATCAAACAACAGAGCTCAGAAATGACAACTCTATAATCAAATGATCTGTGTCCAACACCCATGCCAACAAGCCCCGCCTCTCAGAGGCAGATTTCAGAGAGGGTGTCCTTGCCGCATCTGGAGTTGCATTGTTCACCGAAAACCTGACAGATGCTATTGTTTAAGATTAGGACCCTCCTATTAAAAAAATGGGCAATGGCTTGTCAAGAGAATCTGGAGTGAATGCAAAAGAAAACTGTGTGTGCGTGTGCACGTGTGTGTACACCACTCTTTATAGTAGACAGGTTCAGGCAAAAACCAAGAGCCCTATTTCTATTCCACCTACAAGAACGTGTTTGGGCCATTTCTATAGTATACATGCTTCTCTCCTGTCCCATATTAAAGGCAAAGAGTATAAGGGGTCTTTACAGATAAGGAAAGGGAAGCTAAGAGAAGGTGAATGACTTGCTCAAGGTCATCCAGCCAGTATGTGGGGGATTTGAGGCCAGGCAGCCTGATCTGACCCCAGAGACAGTTCCTCCACTTCCAAACCACTGCCCAGCACTGTGGTCATGATGCTGAGAAGGGACACTAGGCAGCCACTGACACGTCTTTGTTAGAGTCTGTGAAAGCATGGGAAAGTTCCCACAATATCACAGTTACATGGGAAAAAGAAAACAGATTTCTTTTCCCTAAAAATGTCAACATGCAAACTTGCATAGAAGCAAACGGATGTGTGCTCTGTGCTCGGCTGTATTATCTCTACCAGCTACACACAGACAGTGGTCATTCACTAAGTTGGTTGGGCAGCAAGAGTGGTTGGAATAAGGCACTTATTTTACGTCTGGAAAACCTAGTTCTGCCTTTTTCAATTACTTTATCTAATATAACTGGACTGATACATTTAAAAAAATAAAATTAGTTTCAAATTGTTCTATCACACAGGTTGGATCTCAAGTCATTCCTACCACAACAACCACAGGACAACTTATTAATCATGTTTAAAAATAGATCTATAAATGGTTATCGACCATCACTGGCATGTCCATCCATTACAACAGGATACGTTCCAAACATCAAGAAAAACAGAGCTAACTTCAAGTTTATCATAACTTCAGTTGACCATGATTATCTTCGTCTATATAACAAACAAAATCAAATAAAAATAATATTCTGTATTAAATATTTATTATTTTCAGAAGGCAATCTTTCAAGGGCTAGGCTGATCCAATGATTTCAGTACAGTCCCTTTCTTATTGATGTTAAACAATTTTCTATTTTAAAAAGATACTATGGTCAATTTTCAACCAGCCAAGGCTTTCTCGTGCAATTTAGCCCAAACTGGAGCTTTCCCGTATATCCTTCCGTGGAGGGAGCAGATGGAATGCAAGCTGACGTGAACATTGTTTAAAGGTGAACATCAGAGAGTTAACTTAGCAGGGAACATCATTCAATACAGTCCAACTACCATAGCTAGGGTGGTCAAGACTTGATTTACACACTCTAAGGGAATGGTCCACGTAAGCCCAGCACTGGTTTTCATGCCATTCAATACAGGGACAACTGAGTGGCCAGTGACTTAAAAACACAATACTAACTATTCAGCTAATAATCACTGACATCATTGTATTAGTGATGCTTTTGTAATGATCCTTGAATTAGTCTATAGGATTTTGTTTGCTTTGATTTGCTTGTTTTGTATTATCCACACCAAACAAATAAAAAATGACGCCGAGAAAGGTTATGAGAGACAGCCCAGGGGACATGGCAAGCACCTCTCCCCTGCGCTGTCCTCAGTCCTCCGACTACAAGCATCCCTGGCACCCGTGCTCACTCGCTGTAGCCAATTCACTCGGGTTTCTTCTGTGTAGGGCCATTTGTTACAACTCTGCATGATGCGTGAGTCAGGCGCACGGTCTGAGAGGTGGCCTCTCGTGAGTAAACCGGGATGGAAATCATAATTGGAGAATGCAAACTAAAGAAAGCGAGAGCTTAAGCAATTCACCGGCGACAAGAGCGCTCAGGGCAAGTCATGCAGCAGCGGCAGCCGGAGGGTTTACCTAGTTCGCTGTCCAGCTCCTCGGTGTGGACCCCTTCTTCTCCAAAGAGCAGCAGGAAGGAGGCAGAAAGAGAGAAGAGTCAGACACCAGCACCAAGAAGGAAACTCCCCTCAGAAAAACAGCAGCCAACACATTACTCGCTTTTGTCCTTACCTGCATTGTGGCCAATAAGCCGGAGACCTCAGTGTAAATCACAGAGCGGTAAGAGCTGATATTGGCAACATAATTATATGGCTCATTTCCTTGCATTGCAAAATAGGGTTTGATTGGTTGTAAAAGATGAAAATACCTTTGCGGTTTCAATGTTCTTAGGCGAAAAGTCACTTATTACAGGCCTATTTCGAGCAAGCAAAGCTGTCAGGCCTTTCGATATTAGTCCTTTTAATCCTTCAATAATCCTTGAATCAGTGAGGCAGTTACACTCACAATTAAAGCATTACTTAACTTAAGTGATGCTGCTGCCTGAAAAATGGGAGGCGAGGTCAAATTGAGAATGCAGACTGTAGAGTGAGGTAGCCTTCAGTATCTTTAAAAGGGGTTAGAAAGATGAAGTATGTCATGATGATGTACATTAGGGAAGCAAAGCCTGCCCTGAAGGAGGCAGTTTACTTTCTATAAGTTTTCCCAGTCAAACTGCTCAGAAATATTAGAATGAAAATGTTCTCAATAATTTCAGTGAGCAAAACAAAGTGAAGATCCTTTCCATTCCTGACCCCGCCCTTGCTGTCAGTAAAACATTTTATTATCTGCGGAGAGAACACAGGACAGCATACAACAGATTTCACACATAAAGTCCCTTATGCACTTAGCTACTGAGTGGGTGGCCATCCCCTCCACAGTAAGCTCCACGAAACCAGGGACCGAGCCTGTTTTTGCTACTGCGATGGGCTCAGTGCCAGTGTAGTTTTGGTACATGACAGGGCCTAAGCATCTCTCAGGTTGACAAAATGAATGAATCGATTGCTGACGTATAACCAACATGGCCCTGAACACCTTACACACTTTTTATTTAAAGGCTATACAATTGCTCATAGTACGTTCTGACGCTGGCACTGTTTCTCAAAGAGGGAAGGTGATTTACATGAAACCTTTCACGAGAATGCTCATTTGGGTGTTACTTAATAATGTCTTTGGGGGCTTTCATTTATTTCTTCCATAATTATCTAGTGAGACCGACTCTGTGCCAGTCACTATGCTAGGTGACAGAGGTACCGAAAAGGCACAATTATCCCCTCCATCTGGAGGAGATAAGCCCAAAGCTCATGTAAATAAAAATGAAATGAAAAGTGTGATAAGCCCTCTAGAGTGAGACACATCATAAGTGACCTAATCACATCTGGGGCAAGTCATGGGAACGGTCTCTGAGCTATAACCTGAGGGATATGCAACATTTACCAAAGAGACTGAGTGAAAAATGACTAGAATTTAAGTTCTCTGAGAGCAGGGCCTTTTGTTTACTGTGTTCGTTGATCCATCCGAAGTTCCTAGAACCCAACTGACATATAGGAGGCACCCAATGAATAGATGTGGAATTTGAGCGTATTCTGAGCAGAGGGAACTGCACATTTAACCAGCAGCAGCGTATCTACAGAGCATGGAAAGAAATGCAGAAGCAATACTGTGACCAGCAATGTTGCTCTTCTTTGTGTTATGATATAACCAACAACGCAAGGCCGCTTTGTGTTAACTGGCAAGAGACAATGCAGGTGAGGGAACCTATTCTTGTCACGGTGGTATAATCGGGTTATATAGTTACACTGTTTGTGTACACAGGCACGTAGACATACATACAATTTCCACGAGAAAAAGAACATGGGAATTCTAGTGTTGAAGGGAAAGTTGCTAAACTAAGTGCGTTTGGTATGAACACATACTCGTTCCAAAGGCAATGGCATGAACGCCAATGAGAAGCAACCTAAGAATGAAAACGCTCTAGATTTGGTAACAAAACTGTTCAGTAATTGTACTCAATACTTTCACTGCATTAACACTTTTTCTCAGTAAAAACTGCTGGAGTTTTCTACAACCTACGAAGTTACGTTCACAGGCGTTTTCGTACATTCCCAGCGTAATGACAACGGATACTGACACGAAAGGCCCTGCGGTAACAGGAGTACCTAAAGTGCCTTCAGAATCATCGGCCTCAGATAAAGTTTAAATTTGGTGCCGTGAAGTTTTACGGTTGAATGTGTATTATGCTGAGTTTGGAGAATTCGTCGCCTGTGCATTATTACATATCGAACCGAGCATCTGAACAATCAGGACCGTCCCTCATCCCTGAAACGTGTAAAATGCAGTGACCACAACTGGTCCCTTCCTTCTTCAGGAGTGGCCTCGGCCGCCGAATGACACGAGCACCGCGGCCAGGCCCCCTGGCCAGAGGGTTTGCGTTCCCACTCGAAGGCAGCGCGGAAACCGAGCGCGCCCACGGTCACTTCCCGCAACCCGCAGCCATGAACAAGGGGAGCGGCCGCGCGGCGTTCCCACGGCATCGCGCTGACCCCCCAATTCTGCCTCGTAGGTAAATTCATACAGGTTCACTACCTGACAGTAAAATAATTACACTAATTCAATCACTGCACTGGCTCCACTGCCAGAATGAATAGTGAGTAGCGAAGCAAACCCTTTCCCTTTTAATTCGTCCGTGTCAAAAAGAAATTTTGGTAGAACCTGGGAAAGACTTCAGGGTAGTGGAAGGGAACGCGTTTCTTCTGTCATAATTTTTTTTCATTTTGCAAGAGTAATTAGAAATCCCACAGCCTTGATGTGAACTTTTTAAAACAGTAACTTTTACAGCCAGTTGATCCTGTTTTGGGATAACAAGGAGACGGGGCTCGGGTAACACCTCGGCCTCTTCCTTGGAAAAAGAGACTTTCAGGTGTTTAGGATACACTGTGAGTTACACAGAGATTCCCAAACAAGTCAAGCTCTGCTTTCCCGACCCCAATGCTGGGGAAATAACAGTCATGAAACATGGACAGTTTAAGAAAAGCTACTGACTTTCCCTCCTAAGAATTTCATAATATAGGACTAGGGTTCAGTAGGCAAGTCTCTATTCTTAGAGACTTTATCTAGAGTTTTTTCCCAGTTCCTGAAGGCAGAGGCTATGTCTTCATTTGAATAGTTCCTGACTGTGTCAAGTTCTGTTTCCAATGGAGATGTAACTACGGATCTGCCTTTACATGTAAACAAATCATTCTTTTAAACAATTCTACTGATTTCCCTTCTCCTATTGGAAACCTGAGTGCACTTACTCGACACTGGATTCCCTTTTAAGAACTCCTTGGTGAAACTGGCTGACTTTGCTACAACTCCCTAAAATCTGCACAAACAACGAACCACTTAAGTCGAGACCTCCAAGCCCCTTACCATCATCTTCACACTCCTCCAGAGGCTTCTGCTGCTTGTTCAGGCACCGAGGGTCTAACCAAGACGTTGTTTTTGTGTTATGGCTGAAATTCAGAAACAAAAACAAGAAATGTGTTTAGAAAGGACGAACAAAGGGCTCAGTGACAGAAAAATTATACACTCCTGAGCATTTGTTCTTCAACCAAAGTTATATTTTGCAACAGCAAACCCAGACCAGAAGGGCCCTGGTTTGGAATTATGAAATGGCTTAGGGAAAATCTTCGGCAGGCTTTTTACTTAACGTAAGATAGAATCACTCCACTATTGAGAGCTGAAATGGTAATACCAGTTTTATTTTTGAAAAATGAGTTCCAAATGACACCCTTGTCTATACTGTCCACTGTTGTATAGACTTATTTTAGTCTTCACATTTGCTGAGGAGCAAACCCCAATTTATTTTAAATTTACTGAAGCGCAAACACCATTTATTTTAAATTTTCTATGACTTAAATCTTGAAAGCTGGAATTCACAAAGGAGGCTGCTCTTTCATTTATTCTATTACATAAAACTTCTCATGACAGCGGGAAACTGCCTCAATTAATGAGAGTGGCTCAAGGCAGCCAATACATATCATTAACTGCAGCGTCCCAAGTTGTGATCCAGATGCAGTGAAGGCAACCCAAGATTACCTAACAGAAATAAACCGGGGCCGAGAAAGGCCTCGGAGCAGGCACACATGCTGCTCAGCTGCCTTCTGGAGGGTGTAACCCTAGATGAAGTGTTTCAACAGACCCCGACTGGGACCCTGAACGTTTGCAAGTATGCAGAACATGTCCAAGAAGTGCCCTTCATCCTATTAGAAATGTCCCAAGGATGACCGGTAGAACTGACCCACAGAGATCAACACACGGGGCAGTCCTGCTCGAGCTCCCGGTCCACTCTCTGCAAGCTAAAGAGGAGGGGCAGAGGGCTGCAGGAACAGGAGTTCACGCCTCAAACCAGAAATGGAAATTAAAAATTAAAAAAAAATTTTTTGGAAATTTAGGCAGTAACCTAAACTTGTTTTGAAATATGAAGTTTAGGTTGTAAATATGTTTTTTAAAAATTGCCACAGTTCTTTGTCTTAGATTCAAACCTTATTATATGTTGGGAAATAATCATGCCTTCAGTGAAAAATGAAATGTGCAAATGCGTAGAACACACCATCTCAACTGGTCAATGCTGGGAGTGATTTTTAAATAAAACACTTAAAAATTTTTTTGAGATAACTGCAGATACACATGCAGTTAAAAAAAAACCCCAAAACAACACGTAGAGACCCCACACTGCCTTTACCCGATACCACCAATGGTATCATCTTGCAAAACCACAGTACGTCACATCCAGGACACTGATAGCCACACAGTCAAGATACGAAACATTTCCATCGTCACAAGGAGCCCTCATGCACTTCTGGTTCTCTTCTAAATGCCGTAAAACCCACTTTAAAGCTGTGGCAACCAGTAATCTGTTCGCCATTCCATAATTTTGTCATTGAAAGAATGCTATGTAAATGGAACCACACATGACGTACGTAACCTTTGGGGACTGGCAGTTTCATGCAGCATAATTCTCGCTGAGACTGCCGCACACACCAGTCCTCTTCGTTGTCCAGTGGTCTCCATGGCATGAACGGACCACAGCCTAACCACCGAAGGGCATCCGGGTTGTTTCCAGTTTTTGGCTATTTGGAATAAATCTACTTAAATATTCATGTACAGGTTTTCCTGCGAATGTACGTGTTCACTTCTCTGGCCAAAGGTGCAGCTGCTAGGTCATCCTGTAGCTGCAGGTTTAGTTTTTGAAGAAACTGCCAGCCTGTTCTCCACAATGCCATATGGTTTCCATACCCACTGGCAATGCACGGTGGTCTAGCTTCTCGGCACCTCTGCCATCACTTCGTGCTGTTGCTGTGTCTCATTTCAGCCATCCGAAAGGCACGTCATCTCTTCGCAGCTTTATCTGCATCTCCCTCAAGGCTGATGGTGCGAAGCTGTCCTCAGCGCTTACCTGGCACCTGTAATCCTCTTGGGTGAAATGTACGTTCGTGCATCTAGCTCGTTTTCTAACTGGGTTTTATATTTTACACTGCAGAGTTTTGAGAGTTCTTTATATAGTCTAAGTACCAGTCAATTTTCAGATCCTGGGTTTGCAGATATTCCCTGTGTATTGTTTGTCTCTTTAGCCTCTTACCAGGGTCTTTTTTTTAGCAAAAGGTTTTCATTTTGATGAAGCTGGGTTTATCACGTATTCCTTTTAGGGATCACTGTATGATATCAAACCTAAGAACTCTTTGCCAATTCCTAGGAAAAAACCTGTATACTTTGTTACAGTTTTTTCTTTCTAACTTTTATGGCTTTACATTTTACATTGAAATCTATGGTGATTTACTTTGAGTTAATTTTTTGTATGAAGTGTAAGGTGGAGGTTGAGGTTAATTTATTTGCTATAAATCTTCTAAAAGAAATATAGCAGAAAATGACTGCCTTATGACTTTGAGTTAAGCAAAGATTTCTTAGCTACTACACTAAAAGCACAAGGCACAACAGAAAAAATAAATAAATCAGATTTCATCAAAATTAAGAACTTCTAGCTCTTCATAAGACACAGTTAAGACAATAAAAAGAAAACCCTGGCTTAGAGAAAATGTTTGGAAATCATGAGTATGATAAGAGAATTGTATCCAGAATCCATGAAGAACTCTTAAAACTTAACAAAAAGAAAATGGCAACCCAACTAAGAAAACATAAGCAAAGGACTTACCTATTTTTAATGCCTAAATATAGTCTTGATATATTAGACCATAATTTAAAAATGCGCCATAATTTAGTTGTCTAGCTCTTTAAGGAAATTATTAACCGTTATGTTTCCTCAAGCTATTCAGGCTCAATGACTTAGGATGATATGCTAATTGCTTTTTTGTACAAAGCTTATTAAATTGTATAAGGAATAGCCTGTGATCAATCCTTTCAGGTTTAATCTACATCTGTAGCTGCTAGAGAAAGGGGAGGAAGGGGGATGAAGGACAGGGAGAGAGCCAGGCAGAAATAATGGTATACTTTACTCTATAAAATAGACTTCGCCATTCTCGGTATAGGCCATCTCCCAGTTTTCAGGTAGAGGACCTAGATTATCCTCTGCAGAAAGAGGTAGGTACTGAGGGAACTTCTGAGAAGGGTCCGTGATGGGAGCAGCGACGCGGCTACTGTTCCCCGGCGGCAGCGCCGCTTCCTGGACAGCGTGCTCTTCTTGGTCACCGGAGTCGGCTGCGCGGGGGGAGACAGAGAGACGACATCAGTCACACCCGCCTCAGAGCCCCCGTCCTTCCCAACCATTGACTATGTTCTGCTTTATTTAACGTTTTTAAATAGAAAACATCAAAATCATGGGCCACATTTATTTTACCTAAACACAAAGAGGAGAGAAACATCCATCACGCATTGCTCACAATCTTGGAAATGCCAAAGAAGAAAGAAATCATCACTCAAAGCCTAAAGTTTCTTAAACTAAAAAGGTCATAAAAAGAAGAAGAAGAAAAAAAAAAGAAACAGCACGTCATCGAAACACGGATGACGCGCTGCACTGTCATGCCCGAGGTATCATCTGGTTTCACGACTCAGGACTTTTGAAGGCAAGAAAGAAGTCCATGCTGAACACAGACGGAGTGGCAGTCTTGTCCATTCTGCATAAATTATTTAAAGCATTTCTGGTTGACAGTGGCAAAGATCAAAGACTCACCAATCAAGGTGGAAAGTACATAAAAGTTTAGAACATAGAGACAGTTGTACCAGTGAGTCAGAGTTGAGCCTCTTTTTGCAAAAGTGAGGAGAATGTTCCTGTGAAAACCAAGACAGTTACCCCCAGGACAGTCTTATGTAGGTGGACAGATTTGACTTGGGTCTTAAAAGAAGCCTTTAAGTAAGTGAGTCTCCTTGTCTTCTTCTTATTAACTAGAAACATCAAGAGATAGTGTCAGCAAAGTATCCACAAAGGGCAGTGTTGACATTCTGGCTGAATTTTTATAGAGGCTGATGACATTAAATGTCACTCTCTACGGGGTTTGAAATCATAAAATCAGGGATGGATGACTTTCTATCTCACATAGTGATTGTGCTGTAGACATTTCTGATTTACTGAACGCAGACTGAGGAATAATGAAAGGCTATAATCGGATCTTTCTCTGATCAGCAGGCAGCTCCAGCTCCCAATGACACCCAGGAGAACAAAGGTAACCCAAGAGTTAGATGGAGGATGTCTATGAAACCACCACCGCCACCAAAACCTCTCCACCACTGAGGAGGCTATTTGCCTGTGGTCATGCCTTACTCTGCATCTGTTCCTTTTCTGGTACCACCACTCAGATCTCCCTTTAAAAATCATCCCCTTTATTCCAGATCCANAAAACCTCTCCACCACTGAGGAGGCTATTTGCCTGTGGTCGTGTCTTACTCTGCATCTGTTCCTTTTCTGGCACCACCACTCAGATCTCCCTTTAAAAATCATCCCCTTTATTCCAGATCCAGACGGGGACTGCCTCAAATTCACTCCTCGCTCAGGCAGTGGGCCCAAGGCACACTCCTGTCTCTCCTGCCTTTGTGACTGGATCAGCACATGATCCAAGGCAAACCAATGAACGTCAGGCATGGAAGTTTTGTTCTTTTCAAGCAAGAGGTGGCCCCTTGATGCTGAAAATATTAAGCTGATAGGTACGGGTGACCCTCCTGACACAGCTCGTCAAACCTGCCTGACACTTATCCCTACACAGAGGAAAACAGAGATGAAAGATACAGAAAGTCACCTAATACCTGGGACTCAAGCCTCTGACTTCAGCCTGAAATTGAGGCTGCCCCTGGCCTCTTCAACAACTCAATCCTCTAAGTTCCCTTTTCTGCTTAAGTTAATTTGAGTTGGTTTTAAAATTTACATCCAGGAGTGCAGGTTTGAAGGGAAAAAGAAATTAGGCCAAGAGAGAGGAAATATTTTGAAATTACTAATCAATAAAGAAAAAATTCAAAGCTTGGCAAGAATGAAAAGATTCACCCTAGTTCTCTAGGAGCCAACACATATTCATTTCTGGTATATCTAGGGAAGGTCCACTTTTCTCACTTAAATGTACATAAGAATCACCAGGAGAGATTGTTAACATGAAGACCTCACTATGCTATTATCGCTCTACGCTCCAAGTGGCTGGTGGATTGCTACTTAAAGTGGTTCAGAGTGCAAAATGCTCTGACACAGTTGGTTTGATACAAATATCACAGGCTGGGTAGTGTCAATTATTTGAAAGAATTTATATGAGATCGGGTATGACAGATTATCAGCTGTCACAGTTGTAGTTTGGTAAGTGAGGGGCATTCATTCAACATATTCCTCAAATACTGAGGCTGCCCCATCCATGTATAGATTGAGGCCAGTTCTCTGTGCATCCTATTGGCTTTCTGGGCATAAAGACAGGCACTCAAATTAAGACAATCAGGTGCCACATTTTTGTACAGAAACTAATGATCAGACTGACTTTAGCAAAGATGATCTGGGCCCAGAAGTTTTCCTTTGATGCCAGGATTTCAAGTGGAGATTCTGTGGGGACAGATTTTCTGAGGTGTGGCTTCTAGAGACAGAGATTTTATTGGCTAGAAATAGGAAAAGCATCAAGACTTAGAGTCAACTACCCCTACGTGCCTTCTACCAAGACATCTACTTAATAAACAAAGGACAGATAAAGGCACATGCTTCTTCAGGACCATCCAGCCACTTGGCAGAACTGTTTCACTGCACGTGACTCAAAGGTTTCTGTGCCCACATCTGTGTTTTGGGTTATATCATGACTCGCCATTCTTATTTGTTGAAAGGTTTAGACATTAAAATATTAGCTTTTTTTTTTAATCCTCACTGGAGGATATTTTTTCCATTGCTTTTCAGAGAGAGTGGAAGGGAGAGAGAGAGAAACATCGATGTGAGAGAGACACATCCATTGGTTGCCTCTCACATGCACTCTGACCCAGGCAGGGGATTGAGCCTGCAACTGAGGTACATGCCCTTGGCCAGAATTGAATCCGGGACCCCTCAGTCTGCGGGCCAACACTCTAACCACTGAGCCAAACCGGCTAGGGCGAAATATCAGCTATTTTTAAAAGAAATATTGATTTTTTAAATAATCTGCTTTCATATCAATGAGAGCTACTAACGAGAAATGAGTAAATATTTACTTCTAAGTGAATGAAATCACCTATTTTCAATAAGGTATACGTAAAAAGTGGCACATTTCTCCTAGCTATTGCAACTATAAGTTAGCACTGGCCTAACCCATTCTAATTGAGAAAAATGCAGATTTTCATGGAATCAAATTTTTACAGCTAGATGGGGAAACAGATATGATTTAATCCTAGCTAGTTATTTTACAAATGTGAGAAGCAGATAATATGTTGACAATGAAGAGGAAACCAGGTTTCCTCCTACGTTTTCCAATGCTGCTTGCAGAGGGCTTGGGCTACTGTTATGACAATAAAGTCATCAAAAAATGTTTTTAATTGCCATGTTGAAGAATTTCGTGTTTTTTAGCTTTAAAGACTGAGCAAACCTTAGAGAGGCCCATACAGGCTGCAGGAAGCATTCGAATCACACAAACTTTCCCCTAGATGTTATTCTATTAGACTTGGCAGCATAAGGAGGAAATACAGAGTTTAAGTAATTGCCCCTTTATTGGGGTCAAGTCTAAATAAGTAATAATGGCTGAATGGGATGAAGTCAGAAGGGGTCTCTATGCGAGAGGAGGATTCATATGCTGCAAATGGATAACTCCTTGAGAACTACAACCCTAAAATACTAAAGAAAATATTTAAGTATAGAAAAAATACAGGAAACAAGATATTCTTCAAATTCACAACATTATAGACTGTAGTAACTCAACTACCATGCAATTACATTTTGAGTTACTATATAAGGTCAAACCCCCATATAGTGAAAAATATTTTTGGACAGAACCAATCCAGGGAACATCCATCACAGCTTCTGTGAATGGTGCCACCTGGAAATGTGCAAGACCCAACTTGTAGAGCCTTACCCAGAGGCAGTCCTTGCAGATCCCTTCATAAAACACAGCACACCTAAGCGTGGGGGTAGACAGCCCTGAATACATATAAATAGGTAATGCAATGAGTAAGATATGCCATGCAGTATGGAATGCATGTGCAAGATACAATCAGAGTATTTGTTATTTTTCATCTTACAGGGCATACAGTAAAATTTCCCTACATTAGTAGGATATATTTCCACTCTCTCTACTTAGAAAGGTCTGACATAAATAATGCTTGCCTTCCTCGTGGCATCAATTGTTATTAAACTGTTAAACAAATTTTCATATTTCTCTATATAAGCAATCAGCTATAATTATGGGGCAGTGCCAAGTCAGGAAATTAATAAACAAAATACAAATACCCTCATATGTTATATATAATTATATATATAAAAAACATTTTATATATATAATTTTGAAGAGATAGAAACAATGCTGATTATTCCCCACTCCCTGATACAGACATGTCCCTCCAGCCCCTTTAGGGTATTTGGGTGAAGTTAAAAGTCTTGCGAAGCAGCATGATAAACGGGAAAAGACCAGCTCTCCCAAGCACTGTGTGGTCAGAGTTGGAATTCTGGTGACCCTTCCTAATTCCTCTGGAGAACAGAAACCTTCTCATAATTCTTTGCAAAAAGCCTCCCAGGCCCCCTTTCTCCACGCCCCCTGACGGGGAGAGCCTGGGGTCTTTACCTGTGAAGCTACTGTTCATTTCAGGAACATCCTCCCCCTCCTCATGCTCTGCAAGGACTATGCCAGCATTTTGCATGTCATTGTAGGACTTCGTGCGCTTTGGGGTCGACTGCTTGGAGCCGGACTGCAGGCTTTGCAAGGCATCCGTCGTGATCACTTTCCCACTGACTGGCTGGCTCGGAGGTTTGGGTGTCCCATAATAGTTTCCTAGGAGATGGAGAGACACATTTGCATGTTTCAAAAAGAATACTTTATTTTTTCAAGACTTCACGTCCAAATGTCTCCGCACATTTAAAATATATGTATTTAAACTGAAACAACAAACAAACAAACAAAACAAACAAACAAACAGTATTTTGTTTCTGAAATGGGTTGGAAAAGATGTCATTGGTACCCAGCTAGACATGATGATTTCAGAAGCTAGAAGGAAAGCTGCATTGTTTTGGTGCAAAGAACTTACTAGGACTCAAAACAAAGGCGGCTGTGCTGAATAGCAACACTTCACCCTCATTACATTTGAATTTCAATTGGTCACTTTTTACATATATGCACTGGCAGAATGCTGACTCTGACTGAGAGTGAACCTCGCAGAAAATAAAAAATTCATTACTGCCTGCACCCTCACAGTCTACCAAGTGGAGGTCACCTTCCCTTAATAAGGGGACTCCTCAAGAGGGCACCAGGGCATATTTAAAAAGAAGGACAGTGAAGACCACGTGGCGCCTCTTTAACTTAATGGCAGGCTTGGTGCTCGGGGTCATTCTAGGTGGGACCAACCTTGCCAAGTTCTAACAGGAACTGTGCCAACCGTGGCAACCTTTACAAGTCCTTCTTTTAGTAATTGTCCATCTTTTTCCAGTCACTTTCCCCCAAAGTTTGGTTAAGATCTGACCTGAATGTGCTTCTGGGTGGTACATAATGGATTTTTGCATTTTAATAAGTGTGTATATTTTTAATATGCACTTGAAAAAAACCTAGCTAGTAAACTGTGGAAGTAATATAAAGCTTACTTTTAAAATCATGGACATGGACAAAAGTGTGGTGATTGCGGGGGGAGGTGGAAGGGGACATAGAGGGGATAAATGGTGATGGAAAAATAAAGTAAAATAAAACAACAAATAACAAATTAATAAAAACAATACTTTAAAACTTGACTTTTTAAAACTTGAAAGTTTAAAAAGGCAAGTATATAGAATAAGAAACTAATCAACTAAACTAAGTGTAGCAATGGTCGTGAGGAGTTTCCTTTTGAAAATTTAAGTTAGAAAGTAAGCTTTTCAAACCAAAACTGTAAATAATAGGCATTATGTTCAGATATTGACAAAATCATGAAGGTGATTCATAAATAGCCAAAGTTTGAAAAATATAGCTTATAATCAACATTTTGTGAGTAGACAATAAACACATCAACATTAGGAAGGCGAGATCCAGTCCCCAG